GTCTGTTCTAAAGACTTAGACACTATACAATATCATTTATATTGTCAATAAAGTATACTTCTTAAGGTTGATTCTTTTACACATGCATTTACAGTACTTAGAAGCATGGTTTATTTCAGTACAGCAGATCCAACCAACAATAAAATGTTTACCAAAAAGTTTTTAAAAAAAATAATCAACACAAGAGTAAGTTTCACACAGTATGTCAATGACAGCTACATTTGTAAAAATGTCTCACTGTATGTGAACAGAATTTTATAATTAGTAAAGAAAACATCCTCTTTGAATGTCAAGAACTCATAATTAAGAGAGACAAAAACTGATTCATTTTACAGTAATTAATTTATAAAATAATTTAATGAAACGTCAAAAGTCTGCCAGCAGAATAAAGAAGATTTCAACGTTATACATCCTAATGATTCTTACTGGAATATATGAACTAAATCAGCTAGTAATAAGCTAATCAATTAACGCAGTTTGAACTTCTTTCTTTGTAAATTATCATAAAACTGTTATTTTGTTTACTTGAGTATCTGTAACAAAACAAATATACTTAAACAGAGTGGTTAATTTCGATGTTCATTGTCACAATTTACAAATCTGATAAACTGTTACATAAAAAAAATAAACTTGTTTTCTGTAATGGAATCATGAATACTTTTTAGCAAGTAAATGGTAGAATCATGAACAGGTTTATCCTTTCATACAAGCGATAGCTAATAAATCGCTTTATGAATTATATAGATGTATTGTGCACTTCAAATACGCAAAATAACCACGTGTTTATGCGTATTAAGTTGATTGCCTCCCAAGGCCGAGGGTGGGGAGAGTCTGCTCTCCTTCTCGAAACGCACTCACATGGCCACGTGCATACAACCACTACCATGGGAGTCCTACTCACTGCCTTCTCGTGGCAGGGGTGTTGTTTACGGAATTGAGAAGACGAAAAGCACATGTCCGACGGTTTAACCGGGTTGGCGGACATGGAGGGTCCACCTAGGGGAGTTGGAAAACCCTGGTTCCAAACCAATGGTGCACATGGGCTCCAGGATCTTGAAGGGACAAAAGGCGTATGAGCCAATCGTTGGTCACCGGCTACCTTGGGACTGCATCTCCTGACGTTGCTCTACTGCTTTGTGGATTAGACCTTTAGGTTAATGGCTCCGGGTGTGGCCCTCCTACTTCGGTCTGGGCATACGGGCAGTACCACAGCCCACACACAAATCAAGTGACCTGTATGGCACATATGTATTCGGTGCCATCTTGTAGCAACATTTGTGTGCTCAAATAAATAAATTTAGCTGACTTTATATTTAATGAATACTTATATTTTGGCAGTATTATAAAAGTTTTATCATAACATCAAATTATATATATAAAACGATCCAGAGCTTTTTCACATATTTATTCTAGTCCCATGTTTTCTCTACATTTCGTCGAGTATAACTGATTCTACCTTTTAGACACCGGTCAACTGATTGACTATTTTATTTCACTTGTACTACTTTCGCAAAAATACATTTTACAAACAATTCAGAAATATTTGCGTTATGGCTACGAGTAGGATCCAGGACAGTTAGTTTATCTAAAACCTGACCAGTGCATATATCTGAATCATCATAAAAATGTTCAAACTAGCACTTGGAAGCAAACGTGTTGTCCGCTTAGCCATTCAGTTCAGATATCCAGTAACCTATTCAATGAATATGAATTTAGCTGTAGAAATTTTTATTATATATATATATATATATATATATATATATATATATATATATATATATATATATATATGATGACCGTGTGTACTTTGAGTAATTGGTTTTCTCTTTCTCATGTGTTAATACAATGTTTATATAGAAACGTACATATAACAATTATCCTAGTATAAAACATACTACATTAGGTTATATTATTCTTAAGATTTATAATGATCTAAAACTTTTCATGCTTGTGATATTCAATTAAAGCAATCAATTAAGATGTCTTTCAAATTGATAACCATATAATATGAAAAACTATCATTGAATTATTGTAAGAAACCTTTCCGTTTTTAGCATTCATCTGTATAATAATATATGTATTATTTGAATACAAGGAAAATTCAGACCGATTTACAGGCGCAATTCAGGTTAATACAATAGGAGTAAAATTTGAAAGTCCAAAAATTAGACCGATGAGATTTATTGATTATCTTAAGCTAAAACTAGTGATATTGTTAGTGTGAAACAGATCATGTATGCAAACTGTATGAACTGAAGATTCTCAACTACAGTAGGAACATACATCTTGATAATCAGTAGTATTGTATGTTCAGAGCTGTCACTATCAGGCTAAATGATAGTGCAGAGATAGACACAATTAGATAGGCAAAAACAAATAGGATACTACTATTTTTTAAGCAACCTTTAGATTAAACATATCACATAGTGCTTATTACAATGATTAGATCTAGATTTTAGATTGGTTATAGTTTTTAAACGTAGGTCTCAGACTGATAAGCATATCTGGACTACATAATATAGAGTGGCTTGTAACACAGATACATACCAGGATCTTAGGTTAGAACTATTAAAAAACTATACTTTGGTATTTGTGCGGATAAACACTTCCAGTGAAACATTTATGTTTCGATCCGTGTGAGAGGAAATAACTTATTATATGCTGCAATTATATAGAGACATAAAAGTGAGATGGTTAACAAGAAATGTTTACTGCTTGAAGAGAAGAAAAACTATTCAAAATGGGTCACCTATAATCTCCACAGAGAAACATGATGTTTACGTGTCAGCTCATATTTCTTCAAATCTCAAATCCATCGAATTTGCTTATTGTAAACTCGCTTTCAGTTTTTATCACATGCAATCGATCCCTAAGAAAATATCACATATACAACTGAGCATTAGTTTTATTCCAAAATCACAACGTAAACAAATTATTTCGAAGTACATAACTCCAATATCACAATGTTAGGTTTTTACTTACATTTTGTACTGACAAATTACATTTACGCAAACTAAGATTGTGTAGAGCTGAATAAAACGATGTTAGGAAAATGAACCAGTGTATGCCAATTCAGTGATTAAGATAGTATTTGAAGGAAGGTCCTGGGTCCAATATCTGATACAGGTGATTGTTGCTTACTCTTCAGTCCAATCCAAAGATAAAACAGCTAACCATTGCTGCTGTTTCCAATAGTCGTCTAGCTGAAATTACTTCGTAATGTCAACTATTGGATCAATTCATTTACCATTAAAAATGTATGTGTTTTGTTGTCTTTAGTAAATACTTATCATTACTACGATTGGATTTTACTAATCAAGCATTTCTCCTGTTCTAACGTCATTATCAGTTGTATCTTAATTTAACATATGTGACTCACCCATTTGAAATCCTAATCAATTAATCCTGTTGAGTACTTTCCTAACATGTCTACCCTGTTTATCACTAACTGTATTTGGTATAAAACCGTCATGTGCGTAACTATACTGTGCCAGAATTTTATATTTAAAATTCGAGTGCGATGAGATATGAACAAAAACTCTTACTCAAACAATTTACATGTCCTCTCGATATTGTGAGAATATTTCTGGAAAACTTGTTACTCTGTTCAAATCTCAATCTCTTCACTTTCACAGAGTAAAATACGTATGAGATATTTTAAACACAAACACTTTTACTCTGAAAACGTTTAAACGTAAGAATATAAGATATGATGTTCAAATTAACAAAAATTAATACACGCAGGGAAAACCAATTCAATCAAATACGACTAATAGTCCATGATGGTAGATGACACTATATTCGATCCATCAAAAACTTATTACTTTGAACAAGTTATGAATACATAATATGATCTCAAATAAGACGTCAGTATCGATTAAAATAATTCCCCGCTCGCTGTAATATAAATTGGTTTGAAATGTTAAATTCCTTGGTAAATCAGATATTTAAGAATCAACAATCAAGAGGTTCGATATTCGCAATCTATTTACACAATATATTCACTAATTGAAATTAATTATGTATAATTTAGATACTTTTGCACAATAATCTCAGATAATGAAATATCAATCCATATGATCTACTGGTGAATAGGTGACTGTATTCTATCAAACTGAAATCCGGAAATATAAAAGATAGTTTTGATGCGATTGTTGTAATTGTACAACTTTAGTATGCATGAATAAAACTACACCTTCTTACACACCATATATATTTCATCAGTTACCAATAAATCGAAGACGGATAAGTTTGATAAAAGCACTAACTTGTACAAAATATCTTTTGCACTTTTCAAGTATAAAGTATTCACGTAGTCTTGGGTCATATTCAAGCTTTATGCATTTTATGACTGTTTCTCTTCAAGAAAATAGAATAATAATACCGCACAAAAATTCTAAAGGATATATTTAGAGAACTAACTGAGTTCAATAATGATTTAATAAAAATTTGTTTTAGTATTGAGTTCTCTAATCTCAAGGGAAACTACATCTCCAACATTCTCATCTTGGTCTACAAATATTCCCCCATCATCTCGTAACAACTGTAAAACATGAACACAATAATACTGAATTATTCTGTCTCTATAACTACAATAAAGTTGCTGATCGTTCAATAAAACAACGGTTTAAAAAAATCGAACTACTAGATGAATAATAAAAAGACCAGAATTCTCCTTTTTTTATCTTACTTCAATACTAATAAATATTATATATTATTCTTCAAAGATATTACAAGGTTATATAATGTGAGTTAGTATTTTAAGAAATTCCGTATGTACAAAGATTCCAGAAAACATAGTAAAATAATGATAATGTCGAAAGCAAAAACAAGTGGACCTATTTCGTGAAGTTGTATTCTGCACAAAGTATGACAGATTGTCTGTAAAGGAATCTTAACCAAAAAAGCAGTTAAATGGAATTTTATAACTGGTGGTAAAATAAATAATCAAATAAAATCAACCAAATGAGTTTTTTAAAAAGAGAAAGAAAATGTAGGAATTAATTTCTCCAAAGAGTCCGACGAGTTGTAGAATCCGCGCGACAATTTGTCAGTGTGGATTCTTCACCTTTAGCGGAGGATTCACGCGATTTTGAAAGTTTTCGGATATTTAAAGCTCTTGATACAGAGTCTTCATGTTTTGATGAAAGATTACGGGGCTGTGATGGTGTTCGAAAATTTGTTGTATTATTTACTGGAACAATTGTCCGCTTTGCCGAAGAGGCACGAGAATGTGTAACAGCAGTAGCAATATCTGAAATTTTCTTCCCAGAATCTGAATTTTTCTTAGACGTATCACGAGACCGTGAAGCCGTCCTAAGATTTGGAGCCTTTGGTATGGTAAGACGAGCGGTTGTTTTTGGTCTTTCTTGTTTTTGTTTAATGGAGTTTAATGAAGAAGATGCTTGAGAAATGCTTCCTCCACTGGAAATCTCGCTAACTATTCCAGTGTCAATCATACTGGAATCACTTCTCGGACTTTCCATACTACTGTTACTACCACAAGACCACTGCCTGCTGAAATTACTCATGGAATTGATCTGTGAAACAGGTGGAGGTTCAAATTCGGAATGTCGACGAATTGGTTTAGGGACATTAAAACATGACTTGATGGGAGGGATATCATTAGTTACAACTGCTGGTTCCATATTAAATGAGTGACCTCCTCGTCTACACGGATCATGACGATGCAAGAACTCATCTAATGTTAGCCAACCCCCACCAACTCGAACCATGACGTGATTACGAAATCTGCGTAAGTAATAAATACGTGAACCTAGCTTATATCGACCTTCTTCTAAACGCTGCATATGCAATTTATTACAACATGTACATTGGGCCAACTTCCTATTCACCTACAAAACAAGAAAGGAACAATCAAAATTACATTACATTTACTAATAATGCAAAATTATCATAGAGCACAATGCACCATTAACAATAGTTATGAAAAGATATGAATACCCATGTGTAAACATGCAGTAAATAACTAAACGTTCTTAAATACTCGATAACGAGAAAAAAACATATTCACATCAAGAAACACATCATTCTATACATCCCATCAATGACTTGTAACATTAAACAAACAGTCAGATTTTAAGACCATAAGAGCACATTTACATTATTTTGAATAAGCACTAAGAAACACTAAGCCAGATATACATACACGCAAGTAAATATATATAAAACAAATTATCAAACAAAACAGAACATATCAAACAAGAAATAAAGCCAATTTTCAACGATGAAACATAGAAGCAAATATATATACAAAGAACAATGTAAAATGCAACAAATAGCAGCACATTGAATCATTCAAGGTATACTGGCAAACAGATCAAAACACTTTTTTTACCTGATTATCAATCAGACAATCATCAGATGATATTGTGGAAGGATCAATCGACATTGGATCTTGATAATTCTCATTATAAATTAAACAATCCATAAGTGGTACACTAAGTATCGATGGAGTATTAATCTTAATATTTGGTAAATTTTTCAAGTCCGATTTTCTATTCATTATTTTCAGTTTAGGTGATTCAACTTGTAAAATACTTAAAGAATTAGTAACAGGACTGTTTAGTAGATCAAATGAACTCAGAGATGATACACAATTATTAGTTGAATCGATATTAGTTGACGATAAGTGGTCATTACACCAATTATTTGAATTTATAGCAGATGATAAAATATTTACTGTTTTTGTAATTTTGACTGGTGTTACCTCAATTATCGGTAAATGGAGATCTAGATTATACAATGTTTGTTGTCTTTTTCTTTTGGTAACATAAGGTGAACATTTACCAACCACCTTTGAATAGTAGTGAACAGATAGCACCAACATATTGATTATATAAAATTGCATAATAGGAAAAAATAAAGAAAAATCAAAATATAAATCTCAAAATAAACAATATATATAGTATAATACCAGAAGCTATCAAAGTGTTAAGACTGTTATTATAAACATTAAGGTTAAATGTGCAAGGGTATTAATGTTCCGTAAATTAGAACAACAGTGAAAACTGCAAATAAACTAAATAACATGTTAAATATTCGATTTAAGATAAATGTTAAATGATATACACACAATAAAATTATCCAAATTCAAAACAACCTGTCAATATAATATTTTCATGTATTTGATTGAAAATTATTAAGAGACAAAAAAAAATCAGAAAACATTTATGATGTTTGTGATATGGTGAACCAATCAGAAGGGACCTAAAGAATACGAGCATCTTATTAGCTCAGAAATGAATTAATTTCCTAAGGTTTAGAGTGGTATATATATATATATATATATATATATATATATATATATATATATATATATATATATATATGAGGAATTGTGCACTTCAATCGGTAACCCGATGTACTTTCACGCTCACTCTTATATTTTCGCTCAATTAGTCAGTTGAGGAGTCAGAGCGTAGCATACCATGTATCAATGACAGATTTCGGACACGGCTTGTCACAACAGTTTGTATGAAATTTGTTTTATATTCAAGAAAACTATTTGTGAAATACAAGGAATTAATGAAAATAAAGACCTGACTTTCACAAAAGTATTGTAAATGTACATTAAAAAAGAGAATGAAAATTCCCACAACCCCATGGCGATAATTATCATGTCCTCACTGGTGACTAGCTTCGAGAGGGGATTGTCGGATTTCTAGTGAGAGGCCGTAACCAGTGGAGTCTAATCTGTGTCAGGTGTGAGATTTATCCATCTCAGACAGTGGAAGATGGTCGCTCAATATCGTGGATTAATTGAAGTTAGACATGAACACCGTTGGATCACGGCCCAGTGGTCTCGAGGTTCAGCGTTCGCGTGAGACCGTAGGTCCTAGGTTCGAGTCCCACTTGAGGGATTCCATATTAGGACGAAACGATCGTCCAGTCTTCCCAATGTTTCAATAGTGGTCTAACATTCATTAATTCATGATCTCAATTAAAATAGATCTGAAAAAATGTGGACGACATTTGGACGAATATAAGAAAATAATAAATTTTATTCAACAGTGCTCAGTACAAATTAAGTATTGTTATAACTATTTGGCAGTTGACTATGTGATCATTGAAGTTGAACAACACTACAATGTTTACACATAGTTGAACTCTGATACTACAGAATTATTGGTCAAATATATAAAATGCTATTGATTTTACATTATCCTAGTGATCAGGTTGAAACCAGCAAACTAACGTTGAATGCATACATATTTGAGACACAGTTTATCCTATGTATATGATGTAAAATTTACGATTGAACTGCCACACAACTAGTACAGCACGCTAGTATAACGCTCTATGTCTTTTACCTAAGTGATGGGTAATTCGGAAATATTATTCATCAAAGTCACTAGAAACCCAGAAAAATTCAGATGTTTTATCCAATGGGTATTGAATGGAACTTCTCAAGAACATTTGGAAATTAAGAATCACGCATCACGTCTTTGAGTGGATGATTATCTATATTGTTGCAATATCGATGGATCTTGAAGAACACGACAACACCGAGAGTATCCGGTGGAGCTACAAATATTCTCCAACGACTTTAACACTTTTTTCTCATTAGAATAGCCAGATATCAAAAGATATTTTTATTAGACCTACTAGCTTAACCGGTGGTCGAAGCGTTCGGTTTTCAATTAACAATTCAATGGTTGAGACACCATATAACACTTAATACGGTTTGTGCAACTGTTTAGTATCATTAGATTTAATACAAACAGTAAGATTTTAGGTCGAATACTCAAAATAATCATTTTACAAAGGTTAAAAATAATTACTTAACTAATTTATTTGTAACAAACTTCAAAATTTACGGTAAAAAAACCAACTCATTTTACATAGAACAGAATCTGTAGTTCAAAACAAAAATGCTCATAACTGATCGAATTAACAGGGTTAAAATCATTCAAATCATATATATATATATATATATATATATATATATATATATATATCACTAACGTTTAAAATAACACCATTTACTAAGTATGCCGACACTGGCAAGCGTACAATATTGATTCCTTATGAATATTATAACTGATTTAACGACAATTAGCATAAAAAACTACAACTATGTATATCTATGACGAGATATAAGAGAAAAAACGTAGGAAGAATAATAAGGGTCAAAATCAGGTCACAATGTTAAAACACAGTTGAGTTGAAAAGTAGTTGTAGTTAGATTTTACCATTAAAATTTAACGAATTTTTATGATAAGATACATATAAAAATACTCAAGTGAAAAAAACAGCTGTATGCCCTCATATTATTATTATATGACACAGATATATATTTACATGTAAATAACCATAGAAAAACGCCCAAAGTAATAATAACAATAATGATTTGTAGATAACATACAGTCGTGACAATTACCATGGTTATACGACTACCTATCTTTATATTAAAGAGTAACTTTTGTGATTTTTAGAAATCGTATTAGCTCTATGTAATTTGATTTTGATATGAGGGCGATCGAAAAATGGTTAAAAAAGAATAATAATTACTGAAAAATATTTCAAATGATGTTATCAGTTACACACATAGTTTCGTTATAGATGAGTTAAAACTAAGAAACACGATGTTATATGAAAGATATCAATTTCAAAATTTGTTAGTGAAATATTTTGTTATTAGTACAAGATTATTGTGGATTTGATTCTTCGTGAAATTATAGGTGACCACAGATCAGTCTTATACTAATTTCCTAATTATTCGTATTCAAGCAAAGAGTAAAATGGTTCAAATATTGACTTACACCGGTAGCCGACTATAATGATCATTTTGCACAACAGAAGTCAAATCGGAACTTAGAAAAAAAAGACTTTTCATATCTGATGAGAAGAATTATTGATTTTGATATTCTTAAAATTTGATTTATTTTACCGAAAACTTCGCCATTCTTGCAGTGAAATACATGTGTAATGAAGCAACACTTAAGTGGGAAAGACCGATTTATTGTTTAAGCTAAAATTACAGAGCGCTTTGATAAAATACAAAATCCATATATCTAATACTTCATTTGTACATCTCCCATTAACTGTCGCTTACAAACTTCATCGTCCCTTCATTCCTGTTTTTATTACAACTACTCTTGGTTAACATTCCCGTTCTACCTAGTTCTATTCAATTCCATCTTCTCAGTATTCTTCTGCTAGGCATTCCACTTTTGAATGGTGTGACATGCTATTTATGTTGACAGACATAAGTAACATACACAATACATGTCCTCAACATGCTACACAAACATTTTGTAACCAATTTTATAGATGGTGTTAGACTAGTCGAGCTTTTCAGCAATTGATTCAGTTAACAAACCAATAATATCTCATCAGCTCATATTCTACGAATTTGAAAACCGTGACGATGATAAATAGGCCTAACTGACAATGACAGTATGTTTTTTCGCAAAGAGTAAAATAACACATTCAATGATTTTCACATGATGGTGAGTTTGACAAATATCAGACATGGTCGTTTGTGAGTTTCATGCCACTGGAAATGTTGTCATTGAAATTGTCTAAATTAATGTTCGATAGCTTTTCATTTCCACATTACTAATCTTTCAATGATTGAGAAAATCCGTGATCCCACTGATATCTTCCTCGCCTGTTAACAAGAAGAAAAGCCCCAAATGCCCTGGTACGGCCGAGAGTGGGGAAAGTCCGCTCACCCTCTCGAAATGCTCACACATGGCTACACGTATACAGCCACTACCAGAGAATTCCTGCTCACTGCCTTCTTGTGGCAGGGGTGTTGTTTACAAAATTGAGATGGCGAAAAGCGAATGTCCAACGGTTTAACCGGGTTGGTGGACATGGAGGGTTCGCCCAGGGGAGCTAGAAAACCCTGGTTCCAAACTAATGGTTCACATTGGCTCAGTATCCTGAGGGAAAAAATGGCGTATGAACCAATTATTGGTCACCGGCTACCATGGGACTGCATCTCCTGACGTTGCTCCACTGACTTGTGGATCAGATCTTTAGGTCAAAGGCTTCGGGTGTAGCCCCCTAAGAGAACCACCTGCTTCGGTTTGGGCACCCAGGTAGCATCACAGCCCTCAAACAAATCAAATGAGATTTGTGTGGCGCATATGTATCTGGTGCCCCCTTGTACTAATATTTATGTGTTCAAGTAAATAAATAAATACGAGAAGGAAGCCTTGATTTAAACGAATTGCGCTAATGAGAATAAATAATTGCATTGATTCATCATCACATATTGTATTAACCTTGATAGATTAAAACAAATCGACTTAACGAATACAACAATATTGAAATTTTAATTCAAGCTAAGTAATTTACATAATTTTTTAAATGTAATATTTATGAAATATGGATAAAATCAAGGATATTTTTCAACTTCTTCAAAAAAACTTGATAATATTATAATTAATTTAATATTAAGTGACCTCCGATCTACCAACCAACAATATAAAGATGTTTTATTTTTTAAGAACCATGAAAGTAGGAGAGAGAAAAACAACAACAACAACAACAACAACATAATAACAATAAAATGATCACTCTGATTAAAAATACAGTAATCAAAAAGTTTAATGAAATAGATAAAAGAAATCATTGAGTAAATAAAATTGAATAAAAAATGAATGAATCAAAGAAAAAAATTAATTAAAATGCAAAATAAATAAATAAATCTGTTTGTGTTAAATCAAAAAATTAAAAATTTTGTTCTAGAATAAAGGTGAATTTAAAATTTATAATTTATTCTACCATTCTATAATTCAAAGACATTAAGCTCATGATAATACAAAGAGGCTTCTTATTGAT